TTGACCCGACGGCTTCGCGATCTGGCCGTCGGCAAACGCGCGCGTTCTGACCGAGGCGGCGACGGCGCCGAGGAAAATCGACTTGCTTCCCCCGACCGGGGGGAAAGGGACGTGCACGTGGAAAAGAGGCAGGAGGAGGATGAGGACGGAAGGGGTATGGGGAGGGCGATGATGAGGAGGAGGTGGAGAAGGAGGAGGAGGAGGAGAAGGAGGGGGGGGGAAATAGAAGAAGAGGAAAAGATGGCAGAGGAGAGGGCGATACGAGGGTGTTTGCCATGGCCGGGAGGAAAGGGATAAGGGAAAGCTAAACAGATTATCATGTGGGGTCCTTCCGTCGGAGTAATTGTTTTCGAGCCGGGCGTTTTCGCCCAGTGTCGGGCCCCAGGTCCCTCACAGATCGCTCCGGCTCGAGAAGTGGCGCATAAAGATGGGGTCCGGGGCTCCGGTCGTGAATGTTCACGATGTTGTAACTTTTTCGAGAGGTCGGACCTCAGGGATACCCATGGGGGGGACGCAGGGGGCTATGGGTGCGTGCTGTCGGATGGAGCCCCTGCTCGAAAGGGAGCCTCCCCCGGGTCCGACAATCCGCACCCATACCCATAGCCAGTCCTCCTCCCTCCGACCCCCCTACGGGTATGGGTGTGTGCTGTTCGATCGGCACTCTTGCCGCGCAGGGGGGGGGGTGCAACTCCCTCCCACCTTCCCTGCCAGGCCGGGTCATGCTAAGCCGTAGGCCGCGGCAGCCCGTGGGCACCTGCACGCAACACGCGTCGGCCAGGGGGATCGTGCCTCAGAGAGCACCCAGCCCGAAGGTGGCCAGAGAAGACTGCGGATGTGCGTGCAGGCGTCGCTCGCGCGTGGCAGCCGTCCTCCCCGCTTACGTTGAACGTCCGCCGCTGTTGTTCTTGCTTCTGGGTGATGCTTCCTCCTCTCCTCGGGCTGCTCAGGCCCAGGCTGGCCTCCCGGACTCCCTGCCGTCGCTCGACGGGGATCGAGGACTGCGACGGCGCTGGACGACGGCAGCCGCGCTTCGAACAAAAAACGCTACTGGTCTTCTTCCGGGCCTGAGCTGCGTCGAGCCGCGGGAGCGCGGTCGGATCGGCAACGCACTGGGTCGCGCCAGAATCGGCGCGGCATCGGATCGGGATCGGACCGTTCTGGGTCGCAGGTCGAGCTCGGCCCCTGCAGGCCGGAGAGGGATTCAGCTCGCGTCAGATCGGATCGGATCGGAGACGAAGTTTGGGGATCGGACCCGATCAAATCGGGCCTGAGTGCCCCTTCCCCTGAGCCCTTCTTCCGTCAGATCCAGGTGCAAAAAAGGCAGCGGCTGTCGGCTGGTCTGAATTCTCGGCCTGAGGCTGATTCCTGGCCCCGAGATCGTGAAAAGCTCCTCAGGATTCAAAGCCAGCCCCGAGACATGGGCCGAGATTCCCAGGCGGGGAACGCCCCGAGAAAGTGCAACGTCGAGGAGAGGGCTCCCCTTCTTTGTCCTCCTCCCCTCACCCCCCTCCTCCTCCGCCACCTGATGCGTCCTCTGAGTTGCAGACGGTTCCTCCCTGTCGCACCACCCGACGTGTTGCCTTGGCGCCACGCACAGTGGTCTCAAACAAATTCAACTGTTCCACTGATGAAGGGCGGTTCCTTTCCAATGTGAAGTCTTCGCCGGAGACGTCTTCAAAAAATGATATACTCGGATCATCCAATCGCGCAACCTTTCAATGGACAGAAAGGAATTCCATATCAGGTTAGACCTCTGGCCTCAGACGTCTTCTTCGATGACCAGACATGAGCAGATGCGCACCAATTATTTGGATGGAAGGCGGTTCCGCCTCAGAGCGTGGCTGCCACAGGACGCTTCCTTCAGCGTATGCTCCCATGATGTCGCATACCTTGTAGCTCGCAAGGTGAAGGGCAGCTCCGTTCCAAAACGGCTTTCCCGCCCGAATGGCGGGCCCACGGGGCACTGTCTTTCAAGGAGGCGCCTCGCGCAGTGCAGAAGAACGGCTGTCACGACTAACGAGGAAAGAGCTTGGGAGGGGAAGGTGTACTGCAGCATCGTTGGTACATCTTAGTCTAAATATGATCCTCACTCATGCTCTTCCGCAGCCTGTCACCTCTCCTCCTCATCCTGCACCTCTTCCCCCCTCCCTCTCCCCCTGCTCCTTTGTCTGCTCATCCCCCACCCCCATCTCCTCCTCCTCCTCCTCCTCCTCCTCCTCCTCCTCCTCCTCCTCCTGCACCTCCCTCCTTCTCTCCCCCCGTCCTCCTCCTCCGCCTCCTCCTTCTCGTCGCCTTCTTTTCTTCCTCCTCCTCCTCCTCCTCCGCCTCCCCCTCCTACTCCTCCTCCTCCTCCTCCTCCTCTCCTCCTCCTCCTCCTCCTCCTCCTCCTCCTCCTCCTCATCATCATCCTAATCATCCTCCTCCTCCTCTTCATCCTCATCCTAATCGTCTTCCTCCTCCTCCTCCTCCTCCTCCTCCTACTCCTCCTCCTCCTCCACCTCTCCTCCTCCTCCTCCTCCTCCTCCTCCTCACCCTCGTCCTCATCCTCAGCATCATCATCATCATCATCATCATCATCATCATCATCATCATCATCATCATCATCATCATCAGCAGCAGCAGCATCAGCATCAGCATCAGCATCATCATCATCATCATCATCAGCAGCAGCAGCAGCATCATCATCATCCCTCTTTCCAGCCCTTCCTCTCGGGAAGGGGGTCCCGAGGTGTGGACGGCAAGCTGAAAGCTTGGAAATGGCAATGCCACCATGGGTCATAATAGGTGGTGGAACCCAATAAGGAATCGAACTCTATATACACCGACGCTTTTTCCGGCCCTGCATTGAATTTTGCACTGGAGAGCGGATTCTGGTGCATACGGGACCCTGGAGTATACATTTTTATGGTTTCCCCGGGACATCGAGGAAAAAAGTATACACCACACCACCCCAGCGTCGTCCCCGACCCAACGTCATCAGCTTCCGGGCAGGGACCATGTCCCACCAAGGTGTGTAGCCAAGCCATGGCACCCTCCCCCCCCGTCCCCGCTCCCAACCTCGCTTCCACCGCCAGCCTCGTCCCGCCATCCCGAACGCTGCGCACCACCCCGCAAGGGCGAGCTGCTCTCTGCATGAGTCCGCATACGGTTCACGCTGCGCTGCCGCCCCAAGCGGCCCCAGGACTTGGGAAAGAAAGCGCAGACGCGCATCGTAAGCAGCAATGTGGAGGCTGTTGTTTCAATCAGGTCAGCAGTGGCAGCAAGGACAGTCGGCACAGCACGGCAAGCATTAACGGCAAGTGGGGAGTCGAAGTAGAGCCCACCGTCATCAGCTACAGCGCTTGGACCATGGCGTGTGAGCGAGGCAGGTCGAAGGAAGAAACCGACGAGTACAGTACAGCAGGTCGTGGCGGAAGGACAGTAGCTGCAAGCGGACAGGCAGGGCGACGTCATCCACTACAGCGATTGTGAGGGGGGGCCGGCCGATAGCGGAGGCAAAGGCGAGCCAGGCCCACGCTGTGACCCCTGCCACAGGGCGGGGGCCAGGGTGGAAGTAGGCAAAGCAGAGCCGGGCCCAACCCACGACCCCAGCCTCGAGTTCGGGACCAGGGTGGAAGGATGCGAGAAGGGCGTGCACCCTGTGCAGGTGTGCGATCGCGGGAGGGAAGATGGAACAAGCCAGCCGTTACTAGCTACAGCATGCGCGAAAAAGGCCCATGGCAGCAGGCAGCAGGCAGCAAGCACATGCGGGCAGTGGCGGGAAGCCAAGGGACGAAGCAAAGCCTCACGTGTTCAACTACAGCATGTGTGCCAAGGCGTGCGAGAAAGGCAGGCAGAGGCAGCAGGATAGGAACAAGGACGCGTGCCGAACGTCATCAGCTACGGCGCTGGGCGCTGGGCCCATCGTCAGAGCCAGCGGAGGGCAGTGGCAGCAGACGCGGTCAGCGACAGCGTTGGAATCAGCTCGTGCGTAGGAGGCCAAATATTGCGCGTGCAACAGCTAGAGAGCACGGGCACGGGCGGCAAGGGCAAGCAACGTCGGCTAAAATGTTGGGACCAGCTCGCGCATGCAGAGTTCGCGGCCGACCCTGGCGTGCTAGGGGTAGGCAGCTTTTCGAGGTTTCCAGGGGCCCATCATCCTTGTCTCGCAGCCAGGGACAGGCCCTGGGAGTGCCAGAGGCGGCCCTGGGAGTGCCAGAGGATGCTCTTTGTAGCAGGCTGCGCCCGAGGCACTCGTTCGTGGCTGTCAAGTGCTAGAGCCTGCTGCGTAGATCCTCCCCGTCCCTCTCTCTATATATATATAGAGAGAGAGAGAGAGATAGATCGATATCCTTCTCTTCCTCCCTCCCTCCCTCCCTCCCTCCCTCCCCCCCTCCCTCCTTCCTTCTGCTCCTCCTCCTCCTCCTCCTCCTCCTTCTCCCCCCCTCCTCCTCCTCCTCCTCCTCCTCCTCCTCCTCCTCCTCCTCCTCATCCTCCTCCTCCTCCCGTCTGCACTCTCGCGAGGCGATGCCCCGGAGCGCCACGCCCGTGCCCGCCCCGGGGAGGGGGGAGGCACTCCGACGACGAGCCGCTGGAGCAGTGCGTCTCTCGCCGCCGCCGCAGCCGCCGGCGACCGAGCATCGAGGATTGAGCTTAGATCGGGCATGTCCTTCTACAGGCGGATTTTTTAGGAAAACAACCAACAAATACTCAAAAATAGTCCATGATCAAAAAATCGCCCACATCTTATGTTATACTATTTTTGAATATTCCTCCTGTAGAAGGACACGCCCGACTTCAGATTGAGCCTCAGAGGAAGGCCAAGCCGAGACAATGGCAGCGCCTCCCCGGCGCTTCTCGTTCGCACACGCGCAAGGGTTACCCGAGAGGCCCGAGTGACCTTTGGTGCGCGGCCTCAGGGGGCTGCGGAAGGGCACCATCCGGGCGCGCTGGCAGGTACTCTGGGGGCCCCTGCGGGCCCGCACCAACAGGTCACTCCGGCGAAGGGTCGCTCTTGTCTTGCGCGTCGCCGACTCGTGGTGCAGCTTTCTGCTTGCTTCCGGCGCGCGCTGGAGCGCGGCCAGCGGCGCGCGCCTAAGGGAGGCCACCCCGCCGCCGGAGCGGCGCGCGCGAGGCGCTCAGCTGCTCTTGGTCGTCGTGGTCCGCAGCCGCAGCCGACAGACACCGCGAACCGCCGACAGCGTGCTGCTGGCTGCGCGCGGCGCCGCGCGCCTGGTCCGTCCACTCGCGCCGCCAGTAGCCCGAGGCCAGCTGGCTGTACACCGCGTCGGCCTGCCCGTGGCGCCCCGTCCAGCAGCGCGGGCAGGCTGCTCTGGGCGGCCAGGACCCGGGGGCGTCGCCGTCCGCATACAGGCGGAGGCCGCGGCTACTGCACGCCGTGCGGTTCGCGCAGCGGCTCAGCGCCGAGCCCTCGGCCGCGCCGCCCGGGTCGTCCCAGCGCACGCTGGGGGTGGTCGCGCCATCATGGCTGCACAAGCCGCTGGGGCCCAGGCACCCAGAGGAGCACCCAGCCGGCGGGCAGGGGTCATTCTCGCGGGCCACGCGGCTGGCCACGCTTTTGTGGACCGCCGAGAGCCAGACGGCCGCGCCGAGGCCGTCGCTCTCAGACAAGTCGCAGCGGCCGAGCGCGCACAAGTCGAATGTCTTCACGAAGTGCGCCGCGCACCCCCCGCAGCCGAAGAAGTTGTCCACGAAGCCGCGGATCCTCCTCAGAGCCACGGGCGCCAGCGCCCGCTAGCAGAACCGCGGAGGCCTTGCGCGGTCACCAGCGCGGCCGACGGAGCCCAACACCCCTCCGCCACGGAGAGGGTCAGGACGCGGAAGAGGGTCCAGAGGCCGCAAGCGTAGGAGGCGCAGATGCGCCAGTACTGCTCTGGGTGCTACCCGGCCTCGGGCGGCGCCCTGCCGAGCCAGCGCTTGTCCAAGACTTCACTCCAGGCGACGGCGCTGAGGCCACCGCAGGTTTGCGCTGCGAGCGCGACACTGAGGAAAGCCTTCAAGTCGGCGCTGGCCCTGACACTGGGAAGAGCTGCGGCCAAGAACTCCAGCCAGGTGCAGAGCTCGTCCAGCACCTTGCCTTGGATGAAAGCCTTCACAGGACTACCCGCAACGGCCTCCCCCTTGAGAAAGGTGCCCTGGCGCAGGGAGAAGAGAACGGCCACTTCGGCGTCCACCAGCCTAAGCCCGGCCTGGTCGTCCTTGGCTGGCGCGCTCCCCTGGACCCACGCGTCGAGCGGCGGCGCGGCCCGTGCGGCGGCCAGCCCACCGTCGCCGATGGCAGCTGCGCGCGCCTCGGCCTGGCGAGCACTGCCGTCGACGCCGGGGATCCCGACCAGGCCCAGGCGCGCATGGACCCAGGTCTGGACCTCTCGCGGGACCTCCTCCCCCACCCTTGCTATCTCTGCCGTCGACTTCCCCTCGTGATCGCCCCGTGGAACAAATCGGAAGCCTCGCAGCGTGGGGTAGCTATGCACACCCAGAGACATGCATAACTCAATGTACTGAGCGCAATCGCACGCAGCAAACTTCACACGCGAATCATGCTCGAACGCCTCAGCGTGCTTTATGAAGATCGGGGCGTAGTGATGGCAGTGGCCGCACCAGTTGGCGTAGAGCATCGCCACCCACGCAGGTCCCGTGGTGCCGTTGATGACCTGTGCCTCGAAGTCCACACGGTCCATGTCAAGCACGTAACGCTGCTTCGCAAACAGGTCCGAACTTCAGCGCGCGCCTGGCACGTATACCGCAAGCACGATGATCACTCGAAGCGGAAGCAACGCCAGCTGGGCCAGACTGGCATTCCGCGCACACTCTGCGGCATCTGCCTCTGAGCCGCCAGAGGCCGATCTCATATCAGCTCAAGTGATCACCAGCACTGCATGCTCGACCTCCCTGGGCTGTGCCCGGGCTCCCAGCCGCCAGGCTTCCGAGCACTCTGCCAGCTCATCGCGCGCCGGCGCGGCCGCGCGACAACCCCTTCCATCCTGAGCTAAAAGCTACGGGGCGTGCTTTTGTCGTCCAATCCCCTCCCTCCGCGGCCGCCCTTCTGCCTTCGCCCCCGGCCCAGTGCTGATTGGCCTTGCACGCCCCGATCCGGCCTTGCCGACTTGAGCGCCCGCCGAGTCCGCGGCACCACGAAAAAAGTGTCTCGCCCTCTCTGGACATGCTGCAGACGTCTCGCTGCCTTGGCCGGATCCTCGGGGATGGACTCCGAGCGGATCTGGGCCGGGCGGGGGAGGCGCCGTGGTCTCTCAGCCTGGCCCTTCCCCGCTCGGGGCTCCTGGTCGTCTCTCGGGGGGGGGGGGGGGGTCGAAGATCGAGGCCCTCGGGCGTTCCTGGGCGGTCTGCCACGTTGTCGGGTGTTCTGGCAGGCTCTTGGGGGGGGGGGGGCGGGAGGCCCGGAGGAGCTGCATCCCTCCTGCAGGCGGGTGCAGATGGCCAGCGTTCACGCTCTGGCGCTGCCTGCGCCACTCGTGAAGCGCGGTTTGTCCTCGCACGCTCGCGCTGTCCCCAGGCCAAGACGGCATCTCAGGTCCAGGCCACAAGGCGCGGGGCGCTCATCTCCGAGCCCCCGGTGGGCGGCCTTGTCTCGGATGCAGGAGCACGATGGCTCCCCTCGGCGCAGAGGCGGCCCCGATGACTGGGAGTTGACCTCCAAGGGGACTCCAACGAGGCAAGCTGGCACCGAGGGCCCGGCAATTTGGCACCAGCGCGTCATCAAATTGCAGAGTGCGCTGGAGAACTGATACTGCAGTCGTGCCACCACACAAGGAACGCTGAGAAGGGAACAAGGGGGCTTTCCTGGCCACGGCGAGACTCGGCCACAATGAGGTTCCCTGGCCTAGATCTGAGGAACGGCCGTAAAACCAGAGTCCCTCCTGAACCCAGTGTGGTCCTTATTCAAGCGTCTTGACTGTAGAGCGAGGCGGAGGCGGCATCATAGAGGTAGCAAGTCCTCTTGATAAAATCCGTCTATCCAAGCTTTCGTGTTGATTCAAGCTACCAGGGGGGCAAAGAAGAGGCCAAGGAAGTAAGGAGACCGTCAGACGGTGTCTGGTGGAAGTGCAACTGGGCCCTAAGAAAGATATGTAGAGGATTGGGCGTGGAGTCACTTCCACTGGCTGCGCCTACGCGAGCGCTCATTGGCGATGCCGTTGCCACGAAAGCAATACTATTAGCAATTAGCGGCCAAGAGCCAGCGGTCAATAAGATCTTTCACATCCTCCCCGTCATCTCCAGAGAGCTTGGAGTATGTGTCACTCTGGCTGGCTCAACACAAAGTTCAAGAAGGGCGGGCTCCTGGGACAGAGAGGGTCGGGAAAACGAGTGGGACATGCCAGCTTTTTCATTGAAGCTTCTTGTAAGCATCCTTGCGCTGCCCCGTGGACTTCCCATCGATCCAAGCCGCAGACATACGGCGGCTCCCGGACCTCTAGACCCCTTCCCCAGGGCCGCTCGCTCATCACAAGCCGATGATTGGTTGGTCCCAGGGCTCGGAACTGGCCCCCAGAGGCAAGAAATGGCAACGAAAACCTAGCTGCCTCATACAACGGATGTTCGGGCCCGGGGGTCGGAAATCGACCCCCAGACACACCCAGGGGTGTGCTCTGGACAGAATTTCCAGGCGGGCCCAGCCGCGGCGGCGCCGAGTGGCCCCCACAGGAGGCCAACAGTGAGAATAGTCATGCTATGCTTGTTCTGGGGGAAACCAGAACCGATACCGCTACTCCCCGGACCTCTCCTGGGGTGCGTGCTGACCAGAACTTCGGGGCGAATCCAGCGGTGGCGACGAGGGCCCCCAGAAGGCCAACAATGATAATGGTAATGCTATGCTTGCTTCTTTGGGGGAAACCGAAGGAGTACCCATACCGCTACTCCCCGAGCCTCTCCTACGGTGCGTGCTGACCAGAACTTCGAGGCGAATCCAGCGGTGGCGACGACGGCCTCCCAGAGGGCCAAAATAGGCGAAAACGAGGGGAAACTAGCGGTATGGGTACCTCTTCCTCCTCTGATGCTTTCCTCTGAAGAAACGCTGCTGACCCAGCCCGTCCCTCCAGTTCTTTGTGCGTGCCCCTGGCTGCGCGGACTTGGGCCGGGCGGCCGCTCCCTGCGCGCCGCGGCGGCGGCGGCGGCGGCAACGACGAAGACGACGACGGCGACGACGACGACGACGACAGACGACAGACGACGGCGACGACAGACGACGGCGACAACGACGACGGCGACGACGACGACGACGACAACGGCGACGGCGACGACGACGACGACGGCGACGACGACGATGATGACGACGACGACGACGACAGACGACAAACGACAGACGACAGACGACGGCGACGACGACGTCTTCGTTCCGAAGCTTTCTGGTCGTGTCGGAGGCTTCCCGTAGCCACGTCCAGACGAGGCGCAGGAAACTGGCCGGCGTGAGCCCCGAGCGCTGTCCGGAGACCACCATTCTTGAGCAGATGCTGGTCAGACGACGACGACGTCCAGGGGGACGACGACGAGGAGGGAGAAGGGAAAAAAGACGGGGAGGGAGGAGGAAGAGGATCGTGCACATGCCACGGGTCTCTAAGCTAAAGTAGGCCTCTCCCAGAACGGCTCGCTCGACAGTACGAGTGCTGCTGTCCCAACAAACAATTACGCTCTGTCTGAAGTCATTGGGCGAATCGAAAATGATTCCCGCCCCCCCAACAAAAAGCAAGCTTGCCCTGAAACAGAATAGCTCGCACTACGCGGTACGGTCCAGGGCCCACCTCTGGAAGCGGGACTCGTGACCAGCCCGGCCGTAGACCCCGGACACTACCATCTCCGAGCGGTCCGCGCTCACTTTTCCCGGAAGCTCCTCGATCGGGCCAGGACCACGCATGCATGCTGATTGCAGCAAGGACCGCGGGAAATTTGCAACGGCTGACCGGCGTTGCATGGTCGCTTCAGTTCTCAGCATCGTTTGAATATGGTCTCATGTGAGGTCTAGCCTGCCGCTGTTGCACCTCAGCTCACAGGGACCCCCAGCCTCCCCACGAACGACGACTGCAACCATCGTGGCACCGTGAGGAGCGCTCACGAGGGAAACGAAGGGCCTCTTGTCTGTCCACGGCGCGCCTCCGCCACGAGTGCGCAGGGCCCCCGACCAAGACCTCGGGAGCGGACCGAGAACCGAAAGGCCCCTCCCGAATGCACGGTGGTCCCTGTTTCGGCGCGTTGACTGTGCGACGACGACGCCGCAAAGGAGGACGACGAGACAAAAAATGACGACCAGAAGGGGGGAGGGAGGAGAAGCGGGAGATGGGAGGACGGGGAGGAGAAAGAGGAAGGAGGACGAGGAGGAAGACGATTAGGAGGAGTAGTAGTAGGAGGGGGAGGAGGAAGAGAAAAGGAGGAGGAGGAGGAGGAGGAGCAGAAAGAGGTGAAGGAGGAGGCGGAGGAGGAGGAGGAGGGGAGGGGAAGAAGGAGGAGGACGATGCTGCAACGCACGGTCCTCCGTTCCAGCGCCTCTCCTCACACGTGAAGCCTACAGTCATTCTTTCCCTCCAGGAGGAGCCGCCCCCCTTGCAAGGCGAGAGCCCCAAGGTCACGCCCTTCGGGCGCGCACCCCATTCTGAAAAAAACACCGCGCTGCATCCGTGTAGAGCGGGGGCAGACCACAATAGACCTTCCACAATCAACGCAACCCTGAGACCCCAAGACGTCCATTGATGTTTGGTGTGGGAAGGTCACGCTTTCCATGGCATAGACAGCGACACCCAAGAAACCCAGGGCACCCTGGAGGCAAGCAGGGTGTTTCTTGGCATGGGTCTCCACTGTATCCCTATGCTTCCTATATAACAAGACTACTACTACTACTACTACTACTACTACTACTACTACTACTACTACTACTACGACTACTACTACTACTACGACTACTACACTACTACTACTACTACTGACTACTACTACTACTACTACTACTACTACTACTACTACTACTACTACTACTACTACTACTACTACTACTACTACTACTACTACTACTACTACTACTACTACTACTACTACTACTACTACTACTACTACTACTACTACTACTACTACTACTACTACTACTACTACTACTACTACTACTACTACTACTACTACTACTACTACTACTACTACTACTACTACTACTACTACTACTACTACTACTACTACTACTCCTCCTCCTCCTCCTCCTCTGCTGCTGCTGCTGCTACTACTACTACTACTACTACTACTACTACTACTACTACTACTACTACTACTACTACTACTACTACTACTACTACTACTACTACTACTACTACTGATAATAATAACTAGTAGAACGCATACAAGTACGAAAAATAATAAACTAATACTAGTCGCAATAAGAATGTAATAGCAATAATAATGATAATGCTAATCACAATAATAAAGTAAGATGGTAGAGATCAAGGATTGGCGGCGCGCACATTGGGGTCAGGGGGAGGGGCGAAGGCTTCTTACAAGGAGGCTGCTTCTCGGAAGGCGCCTTCTAAGAACCAGGGGTGTTTCTGAAAAACCTCCCCCTCTCACCCTACCCCCTCTCTGCGCGTGGTCGACAGGGACTGCCCAGCGACAGTCCCGTCTTGAAAATGACCGGCCCTCCTCCCATGGAGCGATTGCGCAAGATTGCACTCCCGGACACGAAACGAAAGAATCTCGGGCGAGGGCCCCAGGGGTCAAAAGGAAGCACCCTCCACCCGTGTATCTGCTGCACAGGTTGACACGTCTGTTTGCAAGAATATTGGCGGTATCAGGCGAAAGGCCCCTTTTTGAACAAGGGCCGCCGTACACCCGCATAGAAACTGGAAGCGTTTTAAAATGATGTGCGCGGCGCTATGGCGAAAGCCCCATTTTGAGAAAGACCCACGCTCCATCCATGTGAGTGTTGGAAGGATTTGAATGAATGTGCGCGGCGCTAATGCGAGAGCGAAGTACCAAGCCTCCAAACATGAATCATTGTTCAGTCCCGGA